TCTGGGTATCCCCTCATCTCTGTGCCCCCCCGCCCAATCTGGGTGTTCCCTCCCCAATCTGGGTGCCCTTCCCCCATGTTGGTGTCCCCCCCCCCATCTCGGTGTCTCCCTCCCTCGTCCGTTTGCATAAACTGTGTGTAGAAAAAGCCGTGGAGTGAATTTGCTCTTCTCGGTGGGGGAAAGATTGATAGTGAGGTCTGGAAGGCAAGTATCCATGCTGGTGTATGTGTGTACTTACACGGGCCGGACCGGGCCGCACCACAGCACGAGCATGGCCAGTCACCCCCCCTCCCCCGCACGCCCTCATCGTCCCACCCCTCACTCGTCGTTTTGAACCATCTTGCCATCGTTCATGCCTTCTCGTACGTCCTTCTGGTACCTTCCGTGTTGTGGCGGGGGCCGAGGCTGTCAGCGTCGGGGGCCTTTGCTGGGCATGTTGTGTCCTCTTCCACATCCCTGCCAGCTGCTTCATAGAGACGGGTCTCGGGCTTCAACGCCTTGCATGTGTGTGGGGAGGGGGGGGGGGGTGCAGTCATGACAGAGCGCATGCCAGGGTAGGGGCACTGATTCCCCATCGCCGTATCTCTCCACAGGACCTGCAGGAGGCGACGGTCCACCCCGACCCAAGCCTGAAGGAGTTCGAAGGAGCCACTTTGCGGTACGCCTCTCTCAAGCTGCGGTGAGTCCCCATCCACCAGACTCTGAAAAACCAGGGGCTTTTTTGGTTCTGGTTCTAAGCCGGCTCTCTTCCCCAGGCATCCAGCCCCGGCAGATGAGGAGGACCAACGTGGGGTTAACAGAAGCCCAGAAGCTAAGGTGAGCTAAAGGCGTGCCCACCTTTTCTAAAGCAGCCCCAAGGCTTGCGCCCCCTAGCGTGACTTCCTGAATGGTTCCCCTCAGATTCAGAATGAACTCGGACCTTAACTCTGTGCCAGAATAGATTACGTCCCCCTCCTCCCATCTGCTGTTGTTTACTATCTCACTTCCATGTCTTCAACAAATTTTTAAGCTGCCATGCCTGTTTGTGCAAATGTGTTTCATGCGATTCTAAAAACACTGCCACCTGGTGTTAAACCTGAGAACTGCAGGCACAGTTCTGCTGCCATTAAAGTAATATCTGTAAGGTTTTAAGCTGTCTTTCAGCCATATAATGTTTCTTTTCCCCACCAAAACTCGTCCTCCCTGTTTACACTGCAGTTAATTACATCCAGATGGAAGTTTGATATCCGAAAGCTTTAATAAGGATGTATCAAATGAGGAACCAATTAATTGCTTCTCCACATTGGGAGGCTTGGGTTTTTAATTAAGGCTAATAGGTTATGCATGGTGAGTGAATTCACAAACGCCTTCCCTGGAGAACAAGCCTCACAAATAAAACTCCTTTGAAACTGCCATCTGGCATCGTCTGGTAAAGTCCGGCACTATTTGGCA